GACTACAGAGGTGCAAGAGGGAACTGTTGAGAAAATAAGTTCTTCGAGATCCCAAGTTATACTTCCAAATGTGAGAAAACAAAGACTGGGCAGGCAGCAACTTTGTATAAAAAATTAACAAGCATGAAAAATGGTTCAGTGCTTTTGGGAACAATTTTACTGAGAATCTAGAAGAATATACTAGAATATAATAAGATCTTTTCCTTGAGTCTTCTTGGGTGTTTAATCACTTTCTAACATCAGTACTATGAACTCCTCGAAGGTAGAAAAACATGTTTTCTCTTGTATTCCCAGTGCCCTGCAGTGTCCTAAATATAGTCAATGTTCAACAGAGCTTTGCGAGGCATTTCCACAGCCATGGATCATCTAATGACTAAGATACATCCTGAGACCTATGTAATATCATCTGTAAAAAATAATTTTTAGCACTTCCAGAGAGAATGAAAACTTTTATTTGGATCAAGGCTAAGCACTGCAGCCTGGAAAACAGTTTTCAAGTGAACTTTAATCCATTAGAAAAGGATTAATAATGGCAAAAAATCTTGAGGACTTTCCAGTCACATAAAAAGTTGTCAAAATAATGACTAGTTAATGACTGGCTACTATATTTCTAAGCAGATATGTGTACTGCTTAGGTTCTTACAGGATGTAGTCTTTTTTCTTAGATGTTCTTTTAAACATTTTTTCTTTTCTCTTGGGTGGGAATGGCTTAAATGTCAATTATCCAATGGCTCCCTTGCCCTATTTTTAGGCACACTATTCAAAAAGGGCTTCTTTTTCTAATTCTCCCTTCCATTATGGTATATATAGTCTACTACACACTTAGGATATATGTAGGGGCCACAATGATATATGTGCTCCAATATCATTTAACACGACTGTATATCCCTCATGAAAACAAAGATTATCTAATACCCAGCACTCCTCACCAAGCAGCTACTGTAACGAAAGTATATTCAGAGGTGACACAATTTTTGATCAGTGAGCTTAGACATTCCTTAGCAGTCCCTCAATAAATCCAGGGTCCAAAGAACAAGGCTGTAGATTCTGTTTTAATTAGGAAGAAAATTATCTGGACAGAGAATGGAGATATGCTGACATCTTTGAACTTAGAAGATAGTTTGTGAAAAAGACAAATTTCACTTTCTGTCAAATGAGCAGGAAGCAAATGCATGGCTATCCATCCCTTCTTAGTTCTCCACTGAAGGGAGTGCAGAGTGCTGAAGAGGTAGTTTGGAGATGAAAAAGGTGTCATGTGTAACTGGTGTCAAAGAATGGCTCAGAGAAAATTATAACCACTACCAAGTCCACTGGGACAAAATAAAACCACTAACATAAAGTAAAAAAGCATGATTATCAAGCCAACAAAGCTCTGAGTCAATTTGCAACTTCCATCTCCTCCCTGTATTATTCAATCTTCTAATTTCTACAAATTGATGTTTCAACATCCATGTAAGGGTCTATTCTAGGTCTAAGTAACTGTGACTCACCCATAGGTACATGAACTCCTTTGACAAATTTATACTACACATTCTAAGTCACAATGAACATGAATTTCCAGGGGCTGCCACTTTCAAACATATCTGGCCAATCCTAAATCTGTCTTACCATACCCCTTACCTTCCTGAAACCATATAAAGGCACTTGTGCCCACGTCCCCTCTCCCAGCTACATGATGGACCCAGGCACTTCTCCTGTCACTAATGTGTTCTATGAAGGGAACGGTGACTAAAACAAAACTTGTAAACTTTCTCCCCATCTGCACTTGGCTTTAAAATACCTCACCCATATTCACAAAACACTGCCTCATACAAGATGCACATCAGATTATTCCAGTGCCTCTCCTAAACACAAATTCACAGGGGCTGCTTCTCACCATCCACAACTAAAAACAGCCCTCCAAAACCCACACACAAACCTCTTGGGGATGTAGTAAAGAGGGTTTGTGGAGCAGCCAGACAAGTGTCACAGAAAAGTCTTGGCCACAACTGCCTGCACTGGTTGCTTGAGTTTGCATTGGGCTCTGGAACATGCAGCAGCTGGCATCAGAGCTCAACACGTTAAATTTGGGCTATCGGCTCAGGTTGCAGAATGAGACAGCTGCTGTTGAAGTAATCAAAGACGAAGTCTGATGTACACCTTCACCAGGACACTTGAGAGTTTTACAAATACTTTTTTTTTTTAAAGATTTATTTATTTGTGCATACAGAACTGGGGTACAAGCCAGAGGCTCAGGTCTGGTGAAAGGATTCACCAGAGACAGAGTGGGGAGCAGAACAGGCCGACCGACGAAGTATACTGCTGAGGGGAGCAGAGGGCGAGTCAGGAGAGATCTGCTGCACCATGTTGTCACTTTTGGGGCAGATGGGGATCTAACTCATGCTGAAGTGGCTTTAGCTTCTTAGTGCTTGCTGTAACCTGCTGCACCACCAGGGAGGGTCCACACAGTATTTTTAATCCTCAAGGTAATACTGAAAAGCAATGCTACCCTGTTTCCAGATGTAAGGGAGTCAGAACTAGGGAGATATAAGAATGCCCCAAAACCCAAAAATGGTGAAACGTAGAAGCAAGAAGGAAATCCTGATTCTAGCTCGTGACCCCAGTTAATGTAACACTGATGTCTAAGTGTCTCAGTTTCTTCATCTGTAAAGTGGGGGTAGTGTGTGGCCAAACTGCCCCACTACCTGAGGATCAAATGAGTTAACTGGATGACATGATTTAACTAATCCAAGATGCTAGATGCTAGTACATAGCACATGAAAGTTCTCTGTAGGAATTGGCTATTGTATGTTTCACTTAAAAATCACAGAAAATTCAACATAACATTGGAAGTCCTAGCCAGAGCAACAAAACAGGAAAAAGATATACAAGGAATCCAAATAGGGGAAGAAGTAAAACTATTTTTATATGCAGGTGATATGATAATTTACATGGAAAACCCTAAAAAATCTATAGAGAAACTAATCAAAACAATCAACTAGTTTAGTAAGGTAGCAGCATGTAAAATCAACACACAAAAGTCAGAGGCCTTCTGTATGAGCTCAATCCCCGCCTGCCTGGAGATCCACATGGCGCAACAGACCTCTCCTGACCCACCTGCTGCTCTCCTCAGCAGTGTACTTCATCGATATGCCTGTTCTGCTCCTCACTCTGTCTCTGGTGAATCCTCTCACCCTCCGCATCTCTGGCCTGTACCCCAGTTCTGTATGGATAAATAAATCTTAAAAAATTTATGTTGATCCCTAACTCCAAAGGTGATAATATGTAGGGTTTGTGGAAGATAATTGGCATGAGGCCCCACTTCCTTCTTCCCTGTGAGGACACAGTGAGAAGGTATCAGAAATAAACCAAGGTTTGACAGAACACTATCATGTTGCTATCTTGGCTTGGATTTCCCAGCCTTTAGATTAAGAAATGAGTTTCTGTTTATAAGCTCCACAGCCTCTGGTATTTTGATAGAACCCAAATGGACTAAGATTTGTTTAGTAAATCTCCCACCCCCAGTAACAGAATTAAAAATCATTGTGTGGCATTGTGTTACCATTAAATGACTGTAAGCTTGTGTGGTTGGTTTTTCTTCTTGTAATGCCCCTATGGACCTCTCCCCCTATGGCATTGCTGTGGCTCAGGTATTAGGCATGTAGGGCAGGGAGGGCAATGTTTAAAGAAAATTAAATGTGGACTATACCCAAAAACCCAGAAACACTTGCCAGAACTAATACAGCCTGGGGAGAGCCAAGAAAAGCCCAGAGGGGTGAAAGGCAGCCATAGCCATCACCACCACAAACTACAGGCAAGCTGATAAAGCTCAACAAGTACTGGTGGGGCAGAGGAGAAAGTACATTCTCAAAATTGTCAGGTCTTATGCCTTATCCCTCCCAAGAGAAGGGTCAAGCTGGAGAACACCACAGCATTTCTGACATAATGCTCTTCCCAGTCCCAACCTTCCTTAGCGGACACAGCTACACATTGGAGCACAGGATGGGGACTTAAAAACTCGGCCTAAAGCAACACCCCAGGGGCATCGGCATAGTACACCCCAGGAAGGGATACAGTAAGCAGTTCTCATACCCCATTTAAGACGAAGCCCCATCTTCCCCAGCAGTTGCTCTCCTAAAGGACTCTGCCCATTCAGAGACCACTGCCTGGGTATTCTTTTAGTTTGTCTCCAAATGACATTTGCTAATATTAAACAGGCACAACTTTGGATTATTTCATACCACAGTCAAGGGCTAAGGGGCCTCAAAATCCAGTAAGCCCCAAACCTGACGACATAGGTGTGTTGTCTGATTTTCAATTTTTGTATGTCTATTTTTTCAAAGTTTCCTGATGGTTCACTGAATGGCATCTTACAAATGTAAGAATCCCCAGGTACTAAGTAAGTAAGCTGTCATTGATTCGAAAGGTAATAAGTCTATGGGAAACTCACCAGACACTTCAAGCTGACAGGAGTCTTAAAACAATAGCTCAGAACTTTGGTTCTCACAAATTTTAAACAAGTAATCTGATAATTCTAAAAGACAAACACTGAACTGCTTTGCTTACTCCACTTTTTTTTTTTTTTAAGAGTTCCTTGGCAAAAATAGGGAACAAACACCCTTTCAAACAGAATGGGCTTTTGATTCATTAAGCACTTGTCTAATGATAAATGTGGCAACACTAGATGGTGATGGCCTTTGTAGAGCTCATAATTTTAAATTTTACTTGTGAAAAATTTGTTCAGTTTTGCTTATTCTCGGTTTAATTCTAAAATGGGTTAAACAACATAACAATCCATTATGGGAAAAAGCATCTGAACTGAGAACCTGAATTTTTCTGTCTACTGGCCTTCAAAGGGTGAGGAGGATAAGCATACCTAATGGAGAAGGAGAACCATACAGGTTGAACTCATACAGTTCATTATACCTCCTGGGTGATCATCCAAGCTCCTTATTGTTCCTGAGTATTTCTGGAAACCAGAGTGCAAGGAAGTAGGCATAACTTGGGAGCCAAGAGTTGTACTCCCTCGCAATTTTAAACAACATTTGTCAGTAAATTAACTTGCAAAAACAACTGTTGTCTCAACAGTGTTTAATTCTCAACACAAAGGTAAAAACTTTTTAAGGAAAACTGAAATACCATGCATTGTGTTATTTAAAGTGAAGTGCCTTTAGTTCTGACACAGTTTAAAAGGAATAGGGAGAAAATGGGCAGAACTGTAAACCTGCATGGAACAGTGACTTTCTTTTCAGATGAATCTTTTAGGAAGGTGAAGAGAATCCCAAAATCTTAACAATCACCAAATACAGAATTTGCTTTAAACTATTAAAAAAAAATTTCACTGTCTGTGAGGTAGTTACAGGTTACCTGCTTACCTTTCTTTCACAAGACATGTTCCTCAGTAGAACTATAGACTATTTAAATGTAGTTTCAAAAAAAACTTACTACTGAATTTTTCTATTGGCCTTTGAAGTGTGAGGAGGAATAAGCCTTGCTGATGGAGAAGAAGAACCATACAGGTTAAACTCATACAGTTCATTATACCTCCTGGGTGATCATCCATGCTCCCTATTGTTCCTGGGTATTTCTGGAAACCAGAGTGCTCAAAGGAAGTAGGTGCAGCTTGGGATCCTGAAATCTGAGACTTATGGCTTATTTTTACATACTTCAATATGCTCCTTCAGGGTGCCTGTGAAAGCTGGTGACTATTATGTATTGCCAGAAAGAAAATATAAACTTACTAAACTTTATGAGTTTATCAAATCTCAACTGTACAGTCTTCTTCAGATGAAAAACATTTTACAGACCCTTTTGCAGTATTCCTGAAGTTATTCCATACCACGGAGTCTCTACCATTTAATGAGGTCTAAATTCTGAATTAATAGTTCTTCCCAAGATGAATCTTTGACATTAAGTATGGAATGAACTAGTTGGAAGATTTGCCACATGCATTTATGGTTTTTCTCCTGTATGAGTTCTCTGGTGATTTGTAAGGGATGAGCTCTGACTAAAAGCTTTCCCACATTCTTTGCATTTATAAGGCTTTTCTCCCGTATGAATTCTTATATGTGTCATCAAGGATGAACTCTGTCTGAAGGCTTTCCCACATATTTTACAATTAAATGGTTTCTCTCCAGTATGAATTCTCTGGTGCTGAATCAAAGCTGAGCTTTGGTTGAAGGCTTTTTCACAATCATTACATTTATATGGTTTCTCTCCAGTATGAATTTTTCGATGAGTATTAACTGCTGAGTGGGAACTGAAAGCTTTTCCACATTCTTTACAATTATATGGTTTCTCTCCAGTATGGATTCTGTTGTGTATATTAAGCCGTGAAATCCAGGAGAAAGCTTTCCCACATTCGTTACATTTGTAGGGCTTTTCTCCAGTATGAATTCTTTGATGCTGTATGAGAGCAGAACTTTGGCTAAAGGCTTTCCCACAGTCTTTGCATGCATAAGGCTTCTCACCAGTGTGAATTCTCTGATGTATAATAAGGGCTGAGTGGTAACTGAATACCTTCCCACACTCATTACAATTAAAGGGTTTCTCTCCAGTGTGAATTCTATGGTGTCTACTTAGCCGTGATATTGAAGTAAAGGCTTTCCCACACTGGCTACATTCATACGGCTTCTCTCCAGTATGAATTCTATGGTGCTGAATAAGAGAAGAGCACTGGCTAAAGGCTCTTCCGCATTCATTACACTTATAGGGCTTTTCTCCAGTGTGAATTCGTTGGTGATTATTAAGGGATGAACTACCTTTAAATGTTTTTCCACATTCATTACATTTATAGGGTCTCTCTCCAGTATGCATTCTCTGATGTCCAATGAGGGATGTAGTGAAACTGAAAGCCTTTCCACATTCACTACATATATATGGTTTCTCTCCAGTATGAACTCTCAGGTGCTGAGTTAGAGATGAGCTTTGGCTGAAAGCTTTTCTACATTCTTTACATTTATAAAGTTTCTCTCCAGTATGGATTCTCTGATGCTTACTCAGGGAAGAATTGTGGAGGAAGACTTTCCCACAGATATTACATTTGTAACACTTACGTACTGTATCAATTCCTAGTTGTTTAAATAGTACTGAAAACTGTTGTGAATAGGGTTTCTGTCCTCTAGAAACAATTCTGGGTTTTCTAGTAAGTGATGGCTGTAAACCAGTATTTTGTGCAAGTTCAATATCTGTAAAGCTCTTCTCTTTGAAGGAGGTTTTTTTGATGGTAACTAGTATTTTCTTGACAGGTTTGTCCTTTTTGCCTCGTTGTCTTTGCAGTTTGTTCTCATCTATGTAGGTTTTTCCGAAACTCAGGTCAAAAAGACTGTCACCTATGAGTTTATTCATTATTTTCTGATTTTCTTCTTTGGAAACTCTGGTTTCAAAGAGATGCTCCCACTCTAAAATAAACAAAACATGTCAGTCTCTCTTTTACTGGAAATAAAGAAAAGTGATAGTAAAGTATACAAGGCTAGCTAACAAATATGTCTTTGGAGTCTTAGGAAAAGACAGTAAAAAGGATGGGAGGTTCTCCTAGATGGGAAGGATGTGAAGAAACCTCTATGCAGGTTGGCTGAGGAACTCAAAGGCACTCTTTTATTAATTAAAGAAGGTGGCAGGGCTTGTCTAATAACAGCACAGTTCAATGAGATAAAGCACATTACTACATCATCAGCTTGTGCTATTCTTCAGCTTAATGTCCTCAATTAGCCACCAGTGCACTCAAGGTAAAGCCAAGAAAACTGCAGAGAAGATATAAATAAAAACTGGAAAGGCTGTTGCCCTAAAATATTTTTGAAACATACCCTCAATTACTGCTGTTTGGGACTCACCTTAGACCTATAAATAATGTGGTTAACATTCACTGACTCACTTAAGACAATAATATAATATTTACTAGGTACCAACCATGCATCAAACAAAGGTCAAGGCTGGATTACAGAGAATCAGTGAGGCAACAGTCAAACTTCCATAAACTTCACATTTTACTAGTAGGTTTTGACAATAGCCAAGTAACCAAATTAAAGTAAGTTCTACAAATGAAAAATATGAAAACAATGGCAAAGCCTACTAAGAGCAAAAAATTGATTTACTAAACTAGGATATGAGAAAATAAAGGCAAGATCTACATAAAAGCTGACCATGTAAAAATGTGGGTACAAGATGATTTCAGTCAAAAAGGGCAGCTGGCCCTCCCTGGTGGCGCAGCGGGTTAAAGCACAGCACTGAGAAGCTAAAGCCACTTCCGCATGAGTTCGATTCCCGCCTGCCCCGGAGGAGACCACATGGCGTGGCAGACCTCTCCTGACCCGCCCGCTGCTCCCCTCAGCAGTGTACTTCGTTGATCTGCCTGTTCTGCTCCCCACTCTGTCTCTGGTGAAGCCTCTCGCCGCCCCTGCACCTCTGGCCTGTACCCCAGTTCTGTATGCATAAATAAATCTTTAAAAAAAAAAAAAAGGGCAGCTAATTTGAAGGAATATATTTTGGGCATTCTAGGAACATAAAGTGTGGCCTAAGCAAGAGTGAAAAAGGGGAGTGTGCTACAAGGAAAGAAAAGAAGTGTCAGTAGTCATACCAAGTGTAAAATGATAAGCTATAGGAAAGTGTTTGGAATTTCTTCTAAGGATCACGGGGAATTAGAAGGGTTAAGATGAATAAGCTTTGTTTACAAAAGGTCACTGTGGTTGTGTGAGAATGGACAGTAATGGGGTGGAGGTAAAGAAAACAAGGCAGATAGCAAAGCAGCCAATCTGGAGGTTGTCCAATGTTCCTGGATTGAGATGATGGCATTTACATTAGCATAATAGTGGAGGTAAGAACTTTAGGGTATTTTGGAGGTAGTGATGACAGGTATCTTTACCTCTGAACACTGAAAGAGAGCAATCAAGGATCACACCTCATTTTTGTCTTAGGCAGCTTGATGGAGATGGTGCCATAGTATGATATGGAGAATAGTGACAGAAGAGTACATTCTTGAGAGTATTTTTTATCTACTTTATTATCATTTAGGTTACAGCACAAGAAACTGAATAATAGATTCAAAAGGAATAAATATACATTATAAAAGGCCACTTATTTTCATAACTAAAAAGGAAAACAAAAAATTGGGAAAATACAGAAAAATACAAAAATGAAAGCAGATCATTCGTGAATATATGAGATAAATATAATTACTGGTAAATGTAAAGTTTAGTGCACAAGAATTTTTCTGTATATAAAAAAAACCCTTTTACTTAAAAAAATGAGTTGCAATTGAGCTTTCCTCTTACCTCCACTTCACTTAAAAGAAAAAAGTGGGCCTCTCTCCATGTCAGTAACTGTAAGCTGATAGCACCACTGTGCTGACTGTATCATATACCAATGCATTTACACATAAAAAAAAAAACCCTTCTGAGGCATTAGCTATCTTTCTTCCCATTAATATTTCATATGATGACAGATACACATTTACCCCATACTGCAATTTTTCAACAATTATGGGATTATTTTAAGATAAATTTATAAGTCAGAGTATGATTTTAATAAAGCCATACTATCCTTCAGAAAGATTATACCAACCAAAATCCCACTAAAGATACTGCTTATCACTCAGAGTAGCAGCATAACACTGGGTATGTATTCCTAATATCTGTAAACTTAAAAAGGAAGAAATGGAATCTCATTGCTAGTTTGAATTTCACTAATGATAATGAAGCTGGAGAGTTATATAAAAATTCTGTGTGAATTGTCAATTTACAATACTTACCTTTTGTATCACAATCTTTTGTACTGTAATTATTTATCTTATGAACTGTTTCACTTTATACTATTCATTTATGTTACATAGTCTGAGTAATAATATTAACTGGATAAAAACTGGAAACTAAAATTTCAAAAAAACAAATTGCTTAATGAAATATGATTATATTACATTACTAAATAGTTGGAATAATTCTTTCAATAACACAGACCTCTATTAGGGGAGCCTGTAGCACTGAAGGACATTCCAATTCAAAAAAAGTCTTGAAAACAGTATGTATAGTCAAACACTGTTTCCTTCTCGCTTTCTACATGAGTCTGTTCATCATATAAAAGTATACTTAAATATTCATAGTCTAATAGGATAAGTGGAAAAATATTAAGAAAGGTTTATGATGGTAAAATTTCAGGTAAATCTCCTGTACTTCCTAGCTTATCTCTTTTTTATAATACCATGTATACTGTATATAAATTTAAAGTAATTTTTAACTACTTGAAAGTCAATATGATAATAAAGATTTATGTGCTATTGCTAACCAAACAATATATTGTTTAGTAGCTATTAAATAAGAGGGGGATTTAAAATGAAATCAAAAATACCTTGTATTTAATGGAAATGAACATACAAGTTACCGGAATCTATGGGTTGTAACAAAATCAGTCCTAAGGGGAAAGACAATTGCCATACAGGTCTACATGACAAAAAGGAAAAAAAAAGGAAAAGAGAAAAGCACCCAAAAATTTACTGTCATACCTAAAAAATAAACAATAAATAAAAGAGCAAAATAAACGGCAAAGGAATAGTTTCACTGAAACAAAAAGTTGACTCTTCAGGAAGATAAAACAGACAAATCTTTTGCTAAGCTAACAGAGAAAACATTAACAAATAGAAGTAGATATGAAACAAAAATCACTACATAGTACAGAAATACAGAAGTAGATATGAAACAAAAATTACCACATGGTGCAGAAATACAAAAGATTATAAGACATTGCTATAAACAACTATATGCCAATGAATTAGAGAACACTGAAGAATTGGACAGATTTTTAGATCAATATAGTTTGCCAATACTAAACCAGGAAGGAACAGAAGAACAAGACAAAGCACGCATGGAATTGAAACAGCAATGTAAATTCTTTCAAAAAACAAAAACCTGGAACTAGGTAACTTTACAATTCAATTTTATCTAGTTTTGAAGAACCAATGCCCAAGGTACTCCAATTGTCAAAAGATGGTGTTCCATAATACATTTTGTGACATTAACATGACTCTAATACTGAAATGGAAAGACAGAACAGGAAAACTAATATCCCTGATGAGTACTAATGAAAACAATCCAGCAAAATACTACCAAATTAAATTCAACAATATTTACAAGGGTTATATACTCCAGAGAAGCAAAGAATAACTCAACATACATAAATCAATGTAATGTAATATATAACATCAATAAAAATAAAGATAAAAAATGTAATATCCACAGAGGCAGAGAAAGCACTTAAGAATAAAAGGATCCTACCATTAACATAGTAAAAGTCATATATCACAAACCTAGGTAGAGTCAATATAATATTTAATGGTGAAATACCTAAAGCTTCACTCTTAAGATCAAGAACAAGACAAGGATCCCCACTATCCCTTCTGTTTAGCATAGTATTTTATTGGTCACAGCTTTCAGTTAAACAGAAATAAAAGAACTCCAAATCAGAAAAGAAAGGAAGTAATCACTATTCACAGGTGATCTTGTATCTAGAACACCCAAAGGTAAAATCAAAAGGTTATGAGAAAACAATAAATCAATACAGCAATGAGGCAAATTACACACAACATCAGCATACAAAAACCCACAGCATTTATATATATATATATAAGGAATGAGAAGAAATCAAGAAAATAACTCCATTTACTATTGCCTCAAAAAGAATCAAGTACATCAGAGTTAGCCTAAATAAAGAGGTGAAAGAGCTAAACAATGAGATTTCAAGATGTTATTAAATAAATAGTAGTAACATAAAGTGATGGAAAGATATCCTATGCTCATGCATGTGGAGAGTCAATATAATGCAAGTTACTATCCTGGCTAAAGCAATATGTAAATTTGATACACTTTCCATCAAAATACTCACAATATTTTGCAATGAAAATTAGTCAAATTCATATGAAATCATAAAAGGCATCAAATAATAATACTTAGGAAAAAGGAAATGGAGGCATCATGTTACCCGACTTAAAACTTTACTACAAAGCAGCAGTCTTAAAAACAATATGGTATTGGCACAAAAAATAGATACATAGATGAATGGATGAGAACCAAAGTCCAGAAATAAATCCATATACACAGCAGTAACTAACCTATGGTAAAGCAGCCACAACCACACAATGGGGAGAGTCTCTTTAATAAGTGGTGCCAGTAAAATTGGAAGGCTACACATAAAAGAAAGTTGGAACACTCTTAAATTTCACGCACAAAAATAAATTCCCAATGGGTTAAAGATTTAGATATAAAACCTAAAAATGTAAACTTATAAATTTAAAGATTTAAAACCTGTATATGTAAACACTGACAATATGTTCCATGACATGAATGATAAAATTGGAGACTCAATCACTGTAGCAGGAGAAAGAGAAGCAAAAATAAACAACTGGAATTACTTTCAGCACATAACTGACAACATGTAATGAGTTTAAAAAGATATCCTTCTTAATGGTAGAAAATATTCACACAATATAAAACTGACAAGAAGTTAATACCCACAATACATAAAAAATTTTCACAGTTCAACAACGGAAAAACAACTCAATAAACAGGCACAGATAATTCACTAAACAGGATAGCCATGCCAATAGAAAAGAATGTTCAGCATTGCTTGACACAAGCTATGCAACCTCTATCGACTGACATACTCCGGATCGAGAAGGAAGTACTCTGAAAAATCAGACTTTCCATGCTAACTTATGTTACGACCTCCCTTTTTTGTTTAATCATAATATCAAAATATTCTAAACAACCTTCAGTTTACAACTGGATTGCCTTAGCCTCATAAGGTGCTGCCTGGTTCAGACAGACAAGCACAGCACCAGGGCGAGAAATTCTTCTTGAAGTCAAAAGTGATCTTACAATTGGCTGATTGATAAAAGCAATTGGCTGTTATTGCAAAGTCAATATTGAGGCAATACTGGAATATACTCTTACTGCCCGGATGGAGGAAAACCCAAATCTCATCACTCTACTATCTCACATAGGCTTCTATTCAGTTTCTAAATAACCACTCAAACTTTCTACTATCTTGTCTTTATATGGAAATTCACCAAGTCTCCTATTCAGAGCTAATTAAGTTTTCTACCGTCTAGACTTCAAGGAAATTCACTTAAACTTTCTAACAAGTTTTCAAAGACCTTTACTGTAATTTGATTTATAAGAAATTTCCTCTTCCTGCCCTCACTTTACTTTACCCCCTTGGATGTCTCAATGAGAATAAAAGCCATTAAGTAGTAGATAAGGTTTAGGGACTTTATTTTGGCTAATCTTCACTGTGGTAAATATAGTAATATTAGCCTTAAACTTTGTGAATCTATGTACCTGATTTAACCTTGATAGACTGATTTTTAAAAAGTTATAATCTCAACTAAAGGTCAAAACAAGGTGATCATAATCTCAGTCCATTTCATATGCTAATGTCATCCCACTGCTTGCTTAAAATATATAAAATAAACCTCTGTTGAAGGCAGAACTGGAAGACTTGCACCCAACTCTGATTTCCGTGTCTTCCTCACGCCTGCTCCCCTTTTTTCCCCCTTTTTTAGAAATCTCAGCTCCCCGATGCCACTCCCACCTTGAGACCCTGCCTGTTCTGCCCCCCAGTAATGCATAGTCAGGGACAAAGAGTCTCCAACACTTGCTTCCAATGCAAGTTAAAACTACAAAGAGATATAATCTCACACCCATGAAAATGGTATATTGAAAAGATCCCCCAATAAGTGCTGGAGGAGATGTGAAGAAAGAGAAACCCTATCATAATGCTGGTGGGAATATCATTGATGCAACCATTGAGGTGAGCAATCTGGATTTACCTTAAAAAACTAAAAATGGGCCCTCCCTGGTGGCACAGCAGATTAAAGCACAGCACTAAGAAGCTTAAGCCACTTCTGCATGAGTTCGAGTGCCGCCTGCCCTGGAGATCCACATGGTGAGGTAGATCTCTCCTGACCCGCCCACTGCTCCCCTCAGCAGTGTACTTTGTCGATCTGCCTGTTCTGTACCCCACTCTGTCTCTGGTGAATACTCTCACCCTCCGCATCTCTGGCCTGTGCCCCAGTTCTGTATGAACAAATAAATAAATCTTTAAAAAAAAAAAAACTACTAAAAATGGAAGTAAATACTCTATGATTCAGCATCCCCACTCTCAAGCATCTTGGCCAAAACACATTAAACCATTAAGATAAACACTATATGCTATACTATGTTTATGGCTGCACAATTTATAATAGCTAGGGCATGGGTACAGCCTAAATGTTTATCAACAGATGACTGGATCAAGAAAATGTGGTATATCCACATTGTGGAACACAATTCTGCCATAAGGAAAGATGCAATGCAGTCATTTACAGCCAAATAAAGGAAGCTTAAGGGAATAATTGAAGTAAAGCAAGTCAGAATGTCATAAACAAATACTAGACATTATCATACAGATGATCTAATGAAAATACTTCATCATTCTTCAAATATTCCAGTTAAACCAAAAGGGAAACTTTGAAAACAGAGTTCATGAATGAAGACTGAGCTGAAAAAGAAAGCCTGTTTCCTGTCATCCTGAAATAAATGCTGGATAAGAAACAAAACTCGAGAGCCATCCTCTGATGTCAGATACAGACAATATTCTAAATAAACAGAAATCACAGCTGATGATGTAGGTCACAGCCTAGCAGTCAATTTTGAAATTTTTCACATGAAAGATTTAGAAAGATGGCACAATAAATGTGTGCATACCTGCCTAAAATAATTACCATGTTGTTATCAATGTTCACTCTCTCACACATGTGTACGTAACTAACATACATAGGCTTTTTCTTTTCGCTGAGTCATGTACATTTCAGATAAAATACGTAATAGCAAAAAAAAAAGGTAGAAGGAACTGAGAAGGATGTATCGATAGTACAGTGAAAACTTCAAGGAAAAAAAAAATAAGAAGCTATGACTCACCAACCTTTACACATCTTTTATGCTATATAAGCTGCACTCAAATTGCAGGGACATATGACAAAGGTACACCCACAAAGGGTGAATTCAATTCTCCCTCTGAATCTCATGCAATAGTCTAAAAGTCAGAGAGGCTATGCCCTTTCTAGCATCTCCCACCAGGCCTAGTCAGTGCCAGCTGGTTAGAAAATGCTGTGCCCATATCCCAATAACTCTGTCACTCACCTAGACATGTACCTTGAAAAACTCCTTTTTTCACCATGCAAGGATCTTCCCCTTGTTGTAACTGGAAGATAATCTTTGGTTTGGAAAACAGAATTCCTGTTCAAGAAGAAAAAGAATATAAGTCTGCAGAACAGACACCAGTGGCCTTTCTGGCACAGAGCTATGTCCTGGGGTAGTGGGGCTGCTGAAGGAGAGAGAATAGTTTGTTCTAAGAGGAACTTAAAAGTGGATTTTCAGGGAATGGCCAGGACATGTCTTAGGAAGAAATTTAGGACTGGTTGGCATTCCTCTAAGCTGGAATTGCTTGTGAGATCCAGGACACAGCTCAAGAGACAGAAGATGGGAAAGGGATAGAAAAAACTGCCATTATCAAATCAAATAGCCAAGACTTCCCCAGCAGCTCGGAATAGCAGCTGCTGCTCCCCTGGCCCACCTGAAGGCTGCACTTCGGCAAGCTCCCACAGCAGATTCTCATCACAAAGAAAAAGTCTCACCCAGAGAGACTAGGGTGCTGTAGTTCTCCAGCATCACCTCCCGGTACAGGGTTCTCTGCGCAGAATCCAGGCACCGCCACTCATCCTGACTGAAGAACACGGCCACATCCCTGAATGTCACAGACTCCTGTAACAGCAAACCCATTCTTACTTACTGTGGACCATCCCCACACTAGATGACTGTGTAGTAACCCTGTCACCACACAAGATCCAGAGAACAAGCTGAGTGCTTCTTGCTCAGTAATGAATATATTGTGTACTCTCAGAAAGGTTAAGCATAACAGCGACAGAGGAAAAGCACTTGAAATTAAACCTGAATGATGGAGACACAGACTTTTAGATTTGATCTAAAATATTCAATAACCTAGAACAAACTCCCAATGTACAGGTGAGACATGGCAATCAGGTTATAGGAGGTTCTCAACACTCACATCCAGGAAGGAATAAGTGTCATCTCCATGGGTCATCTTTGCATCCTAAGGGACAGAGATCAGCATTCCAGTAGGCAATGCTCTCAGAAAGTAGACCACTGTCCAATAGTCAGGTGAAAAGGCCTGGACTGGGATTCACCCTCTCTACCCCAGAAGCCTTTGTTCCTCCACTTCTTTCCCACTTCATTGCACTACAAGATATCTTGCTGAAACCAGTGGTCCCTTTCTTTAAGTATTAAGAATCTTTTATTTTGTTATTATTTTTTAAAGTTATTTATTTGTGCATACAGGAATGGGGTACAGACCAGAGGTATGGGGAATAGAGGGTGTGAGGAGTGACCAGAGACATAGTGGGGAGCAGAACAGGAAACAGACAGATCTACTGAAATACACAGCTGAGGTTAGTATTGAGCAAGATAGGTCTGCTGTGTCCCATGGGTCAGCTCCCTGACGGGGGATCAAACTTACGTTGCAGTGTCTGCACACAGCCTCACAGTGCTGCACTTTAACCCCTTGTACCACCAGGGAGGCCTTTTTATTTAATTTTTTAAAAAATATTTATTTATTGGCCCTCCCTGGTGGCGCAGCGGATTAAAGCACAGCACTGAGAATCTAAAGCCGCTTCCGCATGAGTTTGATTCCCGCCTGCCCCGGAGGTGACCACATGGCGCGGCAGACCTCTCCTGACCCGCCCGCTGCTCCCCTCAGCAGTGTACTTCGTCGATCTGCCTGTTCTGTTCCCCACTGTGTCTTTGGTGAAGCCTCTCACCGCCCCTGAGCCTCTGGCCTGTACCCCAGTTCTGTTTGCACAAATAAATCTTTAAAAAAAAAAAATTTATTTATTTATGCATACAGAACTGGGGTACAGGTCAGAGGTGCAGGGGCAGTGAGAGGATTCACCAGAGACAGAGAAGGGAACAGAACAGACTGACAAAGTACTGAGGGGAGCAGTGGGCAGGCCAGGAGAGGTCTGCTGCGCCATGTGGATCACCTGTGGGGCAGGGACTGAACTCATGCTAAAGTGGCTTTAGCTACTTAGTGCTGTGCTTTAACTGCTGCACCACCAGGGAGGGCTGAGAGCCTCTTATTTTGATAGCAAACCAGGAAAGACCAGCAAACAAAATAAAAATTAATCTAACTTTCTACTACCAGAAGCAAGTTTTGTTAGCTTCTTGCTATAAGGCTCTTCTTACTATAAGGCCCTTTCCATATGCTAATATTGTTCTAGAATGTTTTTCAAAATGAAATCTTCAGCAAAAAACTATATCCCACTTGTACGGGAACAACACTTGCCACCCCAAAAATGTCTATTTGGCATAAGGGTTATTTTGGGCTTATTATTTTTAAGAAAGGAAGGCTCAGAAGCTTTTCCTTATCTCTCCCTAAACTCCTAAAAGGATTTAGATGGAGCCTATTCCAGGAAAAGAATTCTCATCAGAGATAACTACACAGAAATTTCAATAGGTATGGTAGGCTAGGGGAAATGAGCAAGACCTGTTAAATCCCTTTCTGTGTTACTTTGTTTCTGCATAGTATGGCAAACATTGAGGAAACATTTGCTTCTCTCATTTTCCTACCAATGGACTTTCCTACCTTTGAAATTCTAGATTACTATCAATTTCTTTCTAGCTGGACATATAAAACCCAACTGCCAAATAGTTACAGATCCTCATGTCTTTCCGTAGTTCCCATTCATATAAAATTAGTGTTTTCTCCTGTTTGTCTTATGTCAATTTAAATATTGTAAGCCACAAGGACCAAGGAGAAAAAATTCTCCTACCCTCAGTTCTGTCACAGTTGTCAGGGCTTTCACTGGCTGGACACTGCATCCTCCAAGATAGCAGCTGCTAAACTGGGATCTCTGACAAGACCTGGCAGAAGGTGAGAATTCTTACCACCTTTGCCTCCAGTCCAGTGGAAATAAGGATGATTAACAGTAATTTTTAGACATGCCAAAGAAACAAGGAGAGAAGGAAAATTCTTCCTCTCCTAGACAATGAATTTCTTTACCTGCTATCCAGTATTGCACTGTCTGGATGAATCAGTTTATTTTAACTCATCTACTCATGGACATTTAGATGGCTTCCACTTCTGTAACTCTAAAAATGCTGGATTAGGGATATCCACATCATCATCAAAAAATAAATGCAAAATTTATTTTTTTATCTATTGTGTGACTAATTTATCACCTCACTGTAAATTGCAAAATTGCAATGTATTCACCTAGCTTTGTAGGAATGAGCTTTCTGTCTTTGCAGGATTGCATGCATTCTGGTATTTTGAGCTATGATAATTCTATTTGTCTACTACCTTGTGGAGAGGTTTTCTGGGCTGAGATGAGACTAACTTTCAAATTATTACCCCAAGTGCTATGACAAGCAAAGAAGGAAGAGATCATTGTGGATTAGATGCTTCCCACTTGTAGGAAAACCACCTACCACAAGTTTCAACTTCTTTTCCTTTCACCATCAATGTAAGTTCTATACTGTTTTTGAATCTAAACTAGTACAGTACTAGGGAGTATCTCTGACTTTATCTGCTGACTCAGAGTTCTTTTCTCTTAGATTTTTAGAAAATCAGCTGGACCCTTGCCAAGTTCTATACCCATTGATAAGTCCTCAGTTTCTTGACGGAAAACGCTAGGCCTTTTCTCAGCTAATCTCAGCATTCTGTAGAAGAATTTTTCCACTTTTCTCTGTCACTACCCTCCAAAGGGCAAAAACTAACGAGGATCTTTCACTGAGTTCTGGCTGTGGCAGTAGCAATGGGTTGGTGGCCTGCTCAATTCCTAGTCCACAAGTACTTTAAGTAGGGAATTACAATGAAACTGGTTCTGAAACGAGGAAAATTACTTCCTTCTAGAGTGTACCTGCAAGGCCCTATGAAAAGCTCAGTAATGAAAGAAGCAAGTTCACTACCTCTGATGCCAAAAGGCAGGTGAAGAGAGAAGGCTTTACTCACCTGAGCCTGGACTGGCAGCAACCTTGTGACCATTTTCCCTTCCTCACTGCCCCTCATGGATAAGGTACCTAAAAGAGAAACATACTGTGAGGTCTCTCCATTCTGTATGCACTTTGCCCTCACTAGGTGTAAGAAAAAGGAGTTAAAATAGGGCTATCCTTCACTTTCCATACAAGAGATAGCTTACAACCTTGAAATACTGTTCATAGCATCTATATAGTAAACAACAGATGGGCCCTGTGTTTACAACAATGTATCAGTTGCGTGTGTCTAAGGGCACCTAACAATGAAAAAGGGGCTAAGCAGCAGAGTTGCTGGTGTGCCTCACACAGAGTTGGAATCAAAGGCAGTTGTCTCTGCCTGCCAAAGTATACTGCCCCATTTTGGTATAAACAGCCTGCAAAAGCCAAGGATTTGTTAGAACTGACAATGAACCTACCTGACCTAGGATGGCTGCACAACATTAGGCCAACCCTGGTAGGATATCATATTCTAAATAGCCTGCAAAGGGAAGACAGAGTCAGTCAGGGCAGCACTGGCAATCCAGAGTCAGAGAGGCCCTATGCGTAGTTGCCCAAACCAGGAGTGGCTAGTGTTGGAACCAAAGAAAGGTATGCTTGTGTGGCATGATGATTACTTTGTACTGAGCAAAACTGGACACAAGACCCAACAAGAAAGATGTTTGCTTAATTAGCTCCCTAAAAACAGGAAATCGCTGGGAAGAAGGAGACAGTCTTACAGCTTCCTGTCCAACAGCACCAACATACGTTCAGTCAAAGGACCAGTACCTTTCAGCCAGCGGTTTATAACCATGTAGTGTACAGTAACAGTCTCACTGAGACACTCCGTAAGTGGCACAATTTCCCCATACACCTGAATTCGGGCTTTTAAAGCTGCAGTATCATTTGAAAAACTGAAAGAGCCAAACCAAACTAGGTCCCAACCGACCTCTTCCCTTCTTGGCAGATGTTTCTGGGAAGGGGAGTCATCAAAAGTTACTAAATGTAACAGGAAACATTATGTACTCATCTTCCTTTTGCCACAACCCCCTAAAAGCCCAAGACTCGGGAGAACAGCGTCAGTAGTTAGAAATGAATTTAAAATCTCGACAAAGAGGAATAACTACGTAAGCAGACACAATTAGGCTAAAAAGGGAAATACTGAATTCACTCTCAGTTTCACTTTTGGAAAACAATGCCAAATAAGCCAGGCTCAGGAAAAAAAAAAAAGATAAACGCTCAGCTGAAACACGGGGTAAGGTGTGGGGTCTGAGGGGGAGCACCAACATGACAAGTGGAAATCGCCCTAAGGTTCACGAACCCTGAAATAAGGTACCAATCGCTGCAATCCGGGCGGCCGGGGTCACGTCGCCAGGCTCCCGGCCCAACACCCAGGCCCCGCCCACGGGCAAGCGCAGCCCCGACTTCCTGCCTCAGGACGACGCAAGGCGGACCCACCTCGGCGACGCCCCCTTCAGCCCGCGCACCTGTGGAGGCCGCGGCGGCTCCCAGTTGCCCCTTCGCGGGCGGCCGGCCAGTCCCAGAGCCGCACCGGCGAGCCCCCTCCGCCAGCATCCTCTACCGGGGCTCGTCGCCACCAGCACGCCAGGCGGCGCAGGGGTTCCCGAAAGGCAGAGCACCTGTGCAGCGGATATGTTTCGTCGCCGCCGCCAGGCTGTGTGGGGCAACTGCGCCCGCCCGTGACAGAACCCGCGGCCGCAGCCGAGCGCCCCTGTGCGCTGTTCAAACTGTTTCCCTGACGTCGCCACGCGCCGCCCTCTACGGAGACGGACAAGGGCCAAGAAAACGCGGCTGCAGCGAGCGGACGTGCTGGCACCTGCAGAAGCCTGTCAGTTGTACCTTCTAAAGTCTTAACAAGACAAGGACATAACGGTTGTATCTTTTGTACGCTTTTTATTCGTAATTATAACAATGGGAAGGAAAAGTGAGCAAGTATCCAAAAATGAAGACTGACAGTTACTGCCTCTTGGTTAGAGAACACACTGTGAGGCTCTTTTTAACACCCTTTTAAATTTAAAAAATGTCTGCACTTTGTAATCTATGCAATACATGCATTTAACTGACACTCATACTGGGTAGAAACAGAAACCCAGTATTTTCCTGATAGCCACTACTTCTTTTAAATGATCCCTTTAAGGAATCAAGGAAGCTTGGTAAATAATGTGAAAAAAAAATCTGGGGTCACAGTGTTAAAGAGTATGACAAACATTTCAAAGTAAAAATTACTAAAGTGTGAATTGAGCTGTTAGGCCCTTATGCCCCTCTGTCTGAGTCTCTGACAAACCCTGGGCCTAGAAAGGAGGGCAGGCATGTAGCATTCCTGGTACCAGCTCCTGGAACTGGCTGAAACCAGACCCTGATATCAGCTCCTGACTCAAGACTGAGACGTCTGTTCTTAGAAAGCCGTCCTTGAGCGCTGTGAAGCTTGTTACTCTTTGAATTTGCACCGGCTATGACATGTAATGGCCGATAAGGGCCTATATATTCTCTGATTCCTATGGTCTGGGTCTTGGTCTCCCTGTGTGGCCTGCGTGCCTGTAGGAAGGCTTGACCCCAGCTAGCTGGCTTAATAAACTCTGCTTGTTTGTGCATCTCTGGTCCTGTTCTTTGTCGCGGGGGACAACCGGGTGATTTCGGACCCTAACAGAGCCATTAAGGAAATGAAAAGCAAAACCATAGTGAGATACCACTTCATATCCATTATGAAGACCTCTATAGAAATGAAATAAAGCAATACAGGAAACAAGTTTTTATGAGGTGCTAGAGAAATTAGAATCCTTATGTTTTGCTGATGGAAATGTTACACACTGCAACCACTGTGGGAAATGATGGTTTCTCAAAAAAATTCACTGCTGGATATAGTTCCAAAAGAAGTGAAAGGACTCATTTATTGTTGTTATTGTTATTAGTGTTCTGTTAGTTATTTACATGTTCACATAATTGGTATTACATTTTTCTATTCCATATGTGCACATGATTGAATCACCTGTCACCAACCCTGCAGTTGATATTCCCTACCAGTCTATTCACCCCTATTCAGTCTGTCACCCCCCTTTTCCCTCTGGTAACCAGTAAATTTTTCTTTACATCTGTGATTGCTTTTTGCTGTATTTTGCTGCTATGTGCTTTGTGGTTATTATTTTCCACAGATAAGTGACACTAACTGATACCTGTCTTTCACTTTCTTATATATTTCATTTAGCACAATCACCTCAAGGTCCATCTTTTTATTTTGAGAACAGAAAAGGTGAATTTTTAGAGATACATTGCTAAAAGAAGCAGTGGGCAAGACAGGAGAGGGGTCTGCTGCTTGGGGTCCATTCATCTTGTACCAAAACAAATATCTAAGTGGTATTCCACTGACTATAAGTAAGCCCCACAATTTCATTACTCTGTCCTTGGGTACTTAGGTTGGTTCGATGACATAGAAATTGTAGGAAATTCTGCTATGAACATAGGAGTATGTCTTTTTTGTATTAGTGTTTCAAAATTCTTGGGTAAATACCTGCCAGAGATATTGTTGGATTATAGGTGATTTCCACTTTTATTAGTTGGAATTATCTCCATATCATATTTTACAAAGGCTGCACCATGTTGCACTCCCACTAACACTGTATTAATGTACACTTTTCTCCAATTCTTGCCAACATTTGTTATGTCCATTCTTTGTGACATAAGCCATTCCCACAGAAGTGAGGTGATACCATCTTTTAATTTTCCTTATAATAAGTGATGTTAAACAATTTTTCATTGTCTCAGCCCATATTGTTAAGGGGAAGGATGTCCTAAAAGAACTCTGCAGAGTCTTGTGGGCCCCACCCACCTACTCCAGCTTTCTGGAATCCACTCCTTATTCCAGTGATTGGAAAACTACAACTCCCAGCAGTACCAAGGGGAGAACTGTGAGGACCAAAGGGCGGAGCTAAGCAGGCATTCTGGGCCTTTGGGGTATAAATAGGGAGCGGTTTTCCAACTGTCACTCTGGAGAGGTAACGGTTCTCTCTCTCTAGAGCAACTGCTCAGACTATGACTGGGCTAGTAGTAGCGTTAGTTTGGAACTAAAGCTCCAAATTAGCTGCTGATAAAGTATTCCAGTTATTTTGTTTCCCACTCTCTTTCCTTAGGTTGTTTCCTTTTCCTTTTCCCTTTTTTAAAAATAAACCCATTATCCTTTTTTGTGTGTGTCTGCAGAAAATTACATTTTGAGCACACACACAGGCAGCCCAAGTCCACTCTGGGCTACCCTGTTACAATATGAATGACTTATTTAGGAAAAAAAAGTCTATTTGAGTCTTTTGATCATTTTTGAATTATATCATGTTACTGTTGTTGGATAGTGTAAATATTTTATGTATTTCAGAAATTAGCCCTTGTTAGACATGTGATGTGCAAATATATTCTCCAGTCTATAGGTTACCTTTCTGTTTTTGTAATGGTTTCTTTTGAGGAAAATATAAGCTTTTGAGTTTCACATAGTCCCACTTATTCAATTTTGCTTTTGTTTCTTTTGTTATTGGGGTTGTGTCCATAAATACATCCTTGCAGTTGATGTCCTATAGTGAAAACTCCTATGTTTTCTTTTACATATTTTATGGGTTCAGTTCTTATATTCATGTTGTAAGATGGACTATCCATCTAAATTTTAATGCAGTATGAATTGATTTTGGTATATGGAGTTAATTATGGAATAGTCTTCACCCCCTCACCCCCCAATTTGGTTATCCATGCTTCCCAACACCATGTATAAAAGAGATTATGGCTCTTCTCAAAAACTATTATTAGTGTGTGTTAATTTCTGGCCTTTGTATTCAACTCCATTGGCCTATTTCTGTTTTTTTTCTAGTACCAAACTGTTGATTGCTGTTGCTGATTGTTATAGTTTAAAGTCAAGATGTGTTATACCTGCGTTTTTCTTCTTTTCTATTGGGAACTTTTGGCTGTTCAGAGCCTTCTGGGGTCCCATGCAAATTTTATACTTTGTATTTCCTGGAAGAAGTCATTGGGATTTTGATAGGTATTGCTTTGAAACATTAGGTTGATTTAGGCAATGTGGTCACTTTGACAATGTTCAGTCTTTCAGTCAATGAGCAGGGGATTTCTTTCTACTTCTTTGAATCTTCTTTTAGTCACTTTAACAGAGTTTTATAGTTTTCATCTCTTTTGTTAAATTTACTCCCAGATATTACATTCTTTTTGGTGCACTTGCAATGTTTTTAAAAATTTCTTTTTGTTCTATATAATTCTTTGTTTATATTTAAAAATGTGGCTGATTTTGATTTATTAATTCTGTATTTTGCCACTTGCCTGTATGCATTTATTATTCATAGTATTTTGTTGTTGCCTTTTAGAGCCTATGTACATAAACATGTCATCTGCAGATTGTGGTAGTTTAAGTAAGGTAGATATTAGGTCCTCTCTTTGAAGTTTTCATAGAATTCACTGGAAAAGACATGTGGTCCTGGCTTTTGTTCTTAGGGCAACTTGATTACTCTTTTAATTTTTGTGCTTGTGATTAACCTATTTAAGCTGTTTATTTTGTCCTGGTTCAGTCTTAGAAGATCATATGATTATAAAAATGTTCATTTCTTCTAGGTTCTCCAGTTTGTTTGCATAGAAGCTTTCATAGAGGCTCAGTCCTTATGATCTTTTGTATTTCTGCAGCACCTGTTGTAATTTTGCATCTCCTATTTATTTTTTTAACAACGGACTAGCAACAGACTTAATCAATTTTGTTTATTTTTTCAAAGAACCAATGGTTGATTTCATTGATGTTTTGTTTTTGTTTTTATCCAGATGCTCTCTATTGAGGTAAGGTAAGTTTGTATCCTTCTACCTGTCTTGGGGGTTATAAGATTAAATTTCTACAAATATATATTTTCACACCCTGCACACAAACATTTACTTAATAATCCCCTACCATGTTTCACTGGACTGCTTATCTTCCTCACTCCCATTCTGTAATGCCAACCCACCCCCCACTCTGGTTTCCTCAGTATTGCAGACTCTGATATTAAGAGTTTGATATTGGCTTGGTTTTTGACTGACTCTTTAGTAGGTTTCTCTATATTCCACATATCGATCACACCAATCAGCATTGTCTTTATATAACCTATTTTGTTACATATTACCCTCTCCAGTTTCATCCATGTTAATGCAAATGGTAAGCGTTCATCCCTTTCATGGATTGTGTATGTGTGCATACATACATGTATACACACATATGTAGATACATGGCCTGTGTGTGTATCCATATACACACATCACTTCTTTCCCAACTTGTACTCCATTTGTATTTTTCTCTTGCCTGATTGCTCTAGCTAGGAAGTCCAATATTATATTGAATAATAGTGGTGAGAGTGGACATCTATGTATTGTACCATATTTTAGAGGAAAAGCTTTTAGTTAAAGGAAAAGCTTTTAGTTAATAACCATTGAGAGTGATGTGTGTTTAGGGTTTATCATATATGACCTTTATTATGTTGAACAATATTTCACTCATCTTCAGTTTTTGAAGATTTTTATTATAAATAGATGCTGAATCTCATGAAATGCTTATGCTGCATCTATTGATATGTATGATTTTTATTTTCCTTTTGTTGAAGTTATGAATTACATAGATTAGCTTTCAGATATTGCCATACTTGTATTCCTAGAATAAATCCCATTTGTTCATGGT